AGTGGGCTGTGCACAGCAGTGCCAGAGGGCCCCCCCAGCACCATCACCGCTGCCATGGCGCACAGCAGCTTTCCTTGCCCTGCAACACGGCCCCCCCACACCCCATCATAGTCGCTCCCCCCTTGCCGGTCCAGCAGCTGGGCAGGGGAATGGCTAGACACCACCAGCTGGATGGACCTGGCCTGCAGAGGTGTTTTGTCTGGCTCCCAGAGGGTCCCTTGGTCTCACCAGGCCAAGGCACCATGTGCTGGGCATGCAGCTGGGCTGACGCTGCTTCATGGTGGGACTGCCTTCCTAGGCAGTCTGGCTGCAGCAGCACCACAGTACAGGTGGGGACCAAACATGCAGCCCTGACCCTGCACACCCTGCACCAGCTCCAGGCTTGCTTGTCCTGGCTGAGCAGCAGCAGTGGGGGAGAGAAACTGCTGCTCAGTGCGGAGGCAAAAGTGGCCCCCTCCCACTGCCATTGCTTCCTGCTGCAGCCGACCAGAGCCTGCGAAGGGCTGCCCTGCATCTGCTCTTCACTGCCACCACTGCCCTGCCAGGCAGCCTAGAGGCAATGGAGATGCAGGGCAGCCCCATGTGGTCTCCGGTCAGCCGCAGCAGGAAGCGCCAGCAGCAGGAGGGAAAGGGGCTGCTTTTGTCCACAATGAGCAGCAGTTTCTTTCCCCCACCACTGTTGCTCAGCCAGGACAGGTGAGCCTGGAGCTGGCACAGGGGGTGTAGGGTCAGGGCTGCATGCATTGGTCCCCACCTGTACCATGGGGCTAGGGCCAGTGACAGCAGCAAAGGAGCTGCTGCAGCCATGCTGCCTAGAAAGGCAATCGTACTGTGGAGCAGCCCAGCTGTGTGCCCAGGGAGTGGCCATGCCCCTGCCCAATCTCTGGATTGGCGAGGGGGGAACAACCATAATAGGGAGGGGGGGCCAGGCTATGGGGCAAGGAAGGCTCCTGTAGGCCATGGTGGCAGTGGTGGTGTGGGGAGGGCTCTGGCCCCCTCTGGGCCCTGGTGATGCCATGCACAGCCTGCTGAAGCTCTGTCCACCACACAGTGGACCCACCCCCCCACCAGGAAGGGGCTTGTGCTCCCCGACATTATGATAGGGGCTGCTGCCCCCCACCAAGGGCCCTGCCCCTCCCACTGCAGCTGCCAGGCAAGGGCACAGCCAGACACTGGCCCACAGGGCCCCTTGGTGGGGGGGAGGGACAGGGGTTATTCCCTGTCCCTCAGAGATCTGGTGGAGGGGACAGCAGGGGGATTATTCCCCCACAGGGAGAGAGTGCAGCAGCAGGCAGACTCAGTTGCCAGTGGGGAAGAGGGGAGACTAACCTGCTTCTCTCTGCCTCAGGGGCCATGGTGCCTCGCGGCTGCAGCAGTTATGGGGGAGCACCTGGCAGACCCAGCTCAGGTCCCTGCCAGTGGCACAGGGAGGAGGGAATTAAACCCCTCCCTGGCCAGACCCCTGGCCCTGCTTGTCCCTATTTGGGCTGGGGAGCAGAGGGGTGGGGCCAGGCTGACTGGGTTGGAGCAGGGAGCTGCGTGAGGCGGCTCAGGTCTACAACCTCTGGTGTGCAGCTAGAGAGAGAGTGCACAGGATGGTGCATGGAGTAGGACGGCTCAGGTCCTCAACCCCTGGAATAAGGCTGGGAGCTCGGTGCAGGAGGGTCTGGGAGCAGACCGAGCCTGGTGCTGCACGAGGCAACCCAGGTCTCTGACCCATAGCAAAAGGTTGAGTCCAGAGAGCCAGACAGTGATCGGGCTACTGAGTCAGCCGACAGGGCCAAGCCAGAGGCCCCAGAAGCCCTGCATAGCGGAGCTCTGTTCCAGGGGGCAGCGACCCCTGCAAAGCCCACTGCAGGTGAGAGAGCAGCCTGGCGCAGATGACGAGGACCATCCTCTAGGCCTGGAAGCCGTGAGTTGCAGGGAAAAGAGGATTCCCACAGGGGAGGGGAGTACCCCCCCCCCCGGTTAGTTAAGGGCTCCTGAAAGTGGAGGTCCCACTAAAGTTACCAGCTTCTTCGTAGGGCTTGGGAAAAGTCCAAGGGCATTGGGGTTTCCCCTCAGGATTGAGTTTATCTTTGGGGTTTATCTGTTTCAGATCAGATACTTACCTGTGACTTACCTGTATCTGGAGCACTGGTATAAGGTTTTATGTCATTTACCCAGAGGTTATTGTTTCTGTTACTGTTTTAGATATATATATACACATCGTACAGATGTTTATATCCAAGTTCCTTTCCCTTGTGATAAGTTAATGTAAATAAATATGTATGTAGTTAGGTCCCCTGACTGCCCTGGCCTGGTTCTATAGGGATGGAGGAAAACTGAGCAGTCTGCAGTTCCCACCCCACAGCACACCTGCCAGCTGACGGTCCCCTTCTACTGGAGAAGGGGAGTATATACCCAAGTTACCTGGGCTACACCAGGATGCTGGGGGAGTCTGGTTTAATTTAAACCAGGAAGCAGTCTGGGACAGTTTGAGCCAAATCAGTTAAGTCAGATATTGCATTAATCAGGTTTATCGCAAGCTGGTTTTGGCCATTTTGAAACTGGTTTATGTGCACTGAATGTCTGTTCTGCTACAGGTTTAAATCAGTTTCTGATCACTAAAACCGGTTTATGTGTAATCTCTGTCCCAAGCCCACATAATAACCTTTTGTGTATTTGAAGCCTGTTTAACAGCTCCCCCTTCAGGCTTCTCTTCTCGAGATTAAATAATACCAACTCTTTCCATATGTAATTTTTTTTGTAAATACCTAATATTTTTATGTGGTGTAAAAATGGGAAGCAAAATTCCAGGTGAGGATTTATCAGTGTTGAGTAGAGTGGAAGAATATTTTTGGAAGGACGTGGTAAGTGGGGTCCCACAGGGCTCAGTCCTTGGGCCCGCCCTGTTCAACATCTTCATCAGTGATTTGGATGAGGGGGTGCAAAGCACCCTGTTCAAGTTTGCTGATGACACTAAGATGTGGGGGGATGTGGGCACAATAGAGGGGAGAAACAGGCTACAGTTAGACCTAGATAGGTTACAAGGATGGGCGGAG